AGAGAGAGAGAGAGAGAGAAAGAGAGGGAGAGAGAGAGAGACAGAGGAGGGGAGAGAGAGTGGTGGGAGATAATGGAAATGAAAGGAATAGAAGAGAGGGAGAGAGAGAGAGAGAAAGAGAGAGACAGACAGAGAGACAGACACAGATTAAAGAGGGGGGGGGGATAGAGAGAGAGAGAGCGGTGGGAGATAATTGAAATGAAAGGAAAAGAAGAAAGAGAGAGAAATTGATAAGAGCAGGAGAGGGGGGCGGAAGAGATATTGAAAGAGAAGCATCAATTCAGTTTTAATTTGAGGAAGAATGGTGTTGTTTCTGTGCCTGTAATAGTGAAATTACATTCGGAGTATGCGAACTCTGAGAAATCAACTGGGAAAGTGAGTGGTTGGCGGCTGCTCTGGTGTACTTTGCTTCTTCTTTCCCATCAAACATTTATTGTCCTTCTCTCCCCTTCTTCTTTTCTATGTTTGTTACACCTCTAATCTTCTGGCGCTCATAATATGACCTTTTGCAATTGCGAGCGCCGTAAAACCTTTTCTAAAACTAGAACAACAGGGAAACTCCTGCTTGAACTTCCAAGTTTCCAAGACTTTTAATGTCAATGTTGCTTCCTTGTCGGCATGCCTTTTTCATTCGGGTTCCTGCCGTATTATGTGGACACTTTACTGGCTACATTTGGCGTCAACATTTTAAAAAAATATTGTGACGCAGGCTTTTTAAATGTGTCAATCAAACATATGTAACTTTACTTTTCATTCTCTGTCTCTATCTGTAAACATGTGCATATCTATCTATCTATCTATCTATCTATCTATCTATCTATCTATCTATCTATCTATCTATCTATCTATCTATCTATCTATCTATCTATCCATCTATCCATCTATCTATCTATCTATCTATCTATCTATCTATCTATCTATCTATTTATCTATCTGTCTGTCTGTCTGTCTGTCTGTCTGTCTGTCTGTCTGTCTATATATATTTTTTTTAAATTTTTAAAATATAAAAAAAAAAATCTATCTACCTATCTATCTAACTCTCTATCTGCCTCTCTATGTATCTATCTATCTATCTGTCTACATGTATTCATTTATCTATTTCCATACATGCATGCATATCCCTTGCCTGTAGGTCATGACACCATTGTGCTTGCTGCTGATATGTGTCACGGCGTGTTGGAATCAGGCGCTCGTCAATTTTGGGCGAATGTAGAATCTTCTTACAGCCTGTTCATTTGCCTTGCTTTTGGGGGGAAAAAGATTCATCTATGTTGAATAGAAGTCGATATATTTGCGATTAAAAGAGGTCATGGTCGCCTGGTTTCAGAGGCAAATTAACGAGAAAATGGCCGCCAAAGCTTTGAAATTTCCATAGCCTGAGTGTCCCTGGAAACTGAAAATTTACATTTTTATTGGGCCTTAAATCAATGTTTTCGCAGCAGAAATGTGATTTTAATAGATATAAAAGGTGTTGAGGGGAAAAAAAGAAATTTTAAATTGATATAAAAGGTGTTGAGCCAAAAAAAAAAAAAAGAAAAGAAAATTAGAAAAAATTGCCCAACAGCCAAAAAAATGCCAATTTCTTTGATTTCATTATTTTGACGAGCGCCTGATCTCATCATGATGCCTCACATTTTATGTTTTCAGGACCTACTGACCACCCTGGAGTCTGAGCGAGAGCGGCGCTGGAAGGCAGAGCAGGCCACTCGCAGACTGGCCAACATAGTGAAGGAGATGCAAGCCAAAGGTAGGATAGAGTTAACTAGTGGTTTCTCTACGGAAGCAGCAGATGTTAGTTAACTCCCTGTCTGCGCTGTTGGTTTTTGTCTTTTTGTCTTTTTTTTTTTTTTTTTTTTTTTATAGGTTAACGTATTGCTATGTTTCTGTTACTTTCGTATTTTAATGCATTTTATTTTCACGTTTTGATTATTTGTACCTTTTCCCCCCTTCTTTCCCTATCTTTTGTTAAACCTGATTGTTACGGGTTAAAAAAAACATAATGTATGCTCTCACGGGCGATATATTATTTTATCTAAAGAAGAAATGTTCCCTTTTAGGCCTCGATCATTCACGCTTCTCTCCCTCTTTCTCTCTTTCTCCATCTCTTTCTCTCTCTTCCCCCCC